AAGTCTGAGACAATCGATTGACATTTTACAAATGAGGTATTTACTGTATGGTTCTCGGATTTTACTAAGAGATTTAGTAATTTTGTATTAAAATACAGTAGATTGTCCTTACTGTTGCTCTCGTTCACTACAATACCAGTAAAACTCAATAAACAGTTTGACAGAAATGGAGCGCCGAATACAGGGAAGACTTCATTCATGAAACTAATATTTGATATGATCTCAAAAATTGAAACTGAAATAATTCCAGCGTTTCATCTAGCAAACTTATTTGGACTTCTTCAGAGTAATTATCAAAATGAAAATGATCAAATAATATATAATGTTTGTTAAACATTATTATTTCAAATATTATTTTTACAAATACTTTGAATAAGCCTCAATATACCACTCATAAATGTTACTGAGTAAGATTAAGGTTTATAGCCTACAAGAAGATAATTGCAATTACTTATTTAATCAATGTAATAAATAAATGTGTCATGTTTTACTATCTAGATAATGTATAACTAATCTGTACATCATGATAATTAAAATTTAGCAGAAAGATATTCTTCGTATGAAAAATATGATGTGCACTAGAATTTTTGAAGTGCAGCCAATAAATACATGAACCGAACTTAGTTAAAGACTCATTGAAAATTAAGAACCGACGAACAGTCAACTGGTCTCAATAGGGACTCACCAGCAGTGAGAAACGACGTCAATCACTGAGTTGATGCCTAATGGTTCACGTTTGTGACTTAAGTCAATCCAAAATATTACACAACCATCGATGAGTAACTAGATACTTTTCAAAGTTTATTGAATAAATGTCTCAAACTTTTCTATTAAATGTTATCTCTTTACAATAAGAAAACTTGGAAAAAGAAACCATTTTTCCACTCCGAACGGGTACTGTGATTGGTAAATGCTCACAAAGGTCTCTGAATCTCTGATCTTAGATATGTGATGCTAAGAAGTCTTTAATTAGAACGAGATAGCTGTTATATGCTCCTTCGTATTCAATGGAGGCTTAGATGAGGTTATTCCATAAAGAAGTACAATTTAAAAACTAAATTAATCTCACAAAACCCACATCAATAAAATATATATATATATATATATATATATATATATATATTACAAGTTAAATTGTGTTTTCACAATCTCTTTAATATCAGATAAATGACATTACTTCACCTAACGTCCTTTTTATATTAAGGTTAACATGTGGACTACTGGTATTATCTGAACTGAGATTCATTTTCCGATTGATTGTTCTTATTTGAATTTAATCTTGAAAACATTTTTGTCGTCCAGTTGGTCTTCATAACCCATTCTTTTGAGCTAGCTTGCTAACAGAATAACATTTGAAAGTTTTGCTCATGGCTACATGAATTTTAGATAGGTAGATTCACTCTCATTGATATCAGCTATCACAAAATACTTTCTTTAAGAACACAATTTTGTAGACTTCATTTGGATGCTTTACGATAGTTATGTTCAATCTATGATCTCGGTCTATTAGCTTTCTATGATTTACGCTGTCCTCTAATGTCATCGATTAGGAAAACAATGAACACACGATATTTAAAACTACAGTGTTAAAGTATGTTAAGTCTGTGCACGGATGCATGGTATTTTACACTTCTAAGTTTGCTAATCCAGCATTAATAGCTTAGAACTTATATTTTAGTCTGTCATGCAAAAGCATTAGTTTGTCATTGGTGGAGAAATTTAACTTATAACAATATTACTTATTGCTGAAGTTGGGTACTGGTAAAGAGTGGAATCCAGGAGGAGAGAGTTTTCCTGTCTGCGACTCATCAGCTGAATGTATATGGACTCCAGTGTCAAGATTTACACAGATAATCAAAACCATTACCTTTCACTTTAAACGCTAGAGAGCTGCTAAGATCAGATAGATACGTGCATGAGCAACGAGTATGAATTTTATTAAACAGGGTGTAGATTTTCTTGGTGTGAATATTGACTCAGCAGCTTAGTAAAAAATGTACTGACGTTTGAATTGAAGGAGAGTGATTTCGAGTTTCAGTGTGAATGTAATCACTGGAATCCAAGGAGATCCATCTGGCGAGTCCCAAACAAGACAAACCAACCATCCTGGATTCGATTGTTAGCCATTCTTCAAACTTAATACAAACTTGTGACTAAATGTCAACACCGATCCTCTTAGAAGTCACATATTTTGATAGGAAACAGTCAGTTTGAGTCGTTAACACAGGGAAAATACAAACATTTAGAACTAATGATCTGCTATTTTTTCCTGAATCTTCTATTTATGGCAGAACAGTCTATTATAAACAATCAGTATAAGAATGTGGAGATTGTAACGTTTTTGATTGAGATCGTGGATGCGCACTGCTGAAAAGTCCCGTACTAGGACGAAACGGTCGTCCAGTCTTATCATGTTTTCAGTGGTCGTCTAACATTGATCGATTCATGATCTTAATCAATAAGAAATAAGTATCCAAATAAATTTAAGTAAAAAGGAACTAATTCATTTTTGTATTCATTTGCTTCACTAATATAAATACCAAAGTGAACTGTACAAGGTTTCCATCTTAATTTTGTATTCATCATCATCAACTGAATATTATTCAAGTAATCAATATTTATGTTTCAAAGAAGGTCAATAGAAATAACTGGTAATGAATGGTAATTTGCAAAATGGAATACTGTTTCAGATACATAAGAGAAATACTTTCACTACTGATTTTTAATATTTAGATTGAGATTTTTACGTACAAAATTGTCTCAGTCCCTTGACTTACGATTGATAATGGTAGCCATTGAGGCTCACTTAATTTGGTAATAAGACAGATATTGCTGGTGACACACTGGACAGTAAAATATTCTCGTATGATTACAATTTCGGTTATAGTTAGAAATGTAAATAATAGAATTGTAATCAGCATAAAGCGCACGCTGCAAGGCTTGAAAATTGCGGGTGTCCACTCGCCTCACTGTGAAAACAACTGTTTATTACTTTGTTTTTTGTTGGTTGTCTTTTGGAAGTCATTTCTTGACAGAGACTATCTCCTAATGTTTTTATTATCAGATTCTGAAATATTCCTTAATTCATAGAATAAATGTACACTTATATATATCTGCCATGGTTTATCTAATAAACCTTATTAATTTTAACTTTTAATCTCATTTCCAATTCTATCCTCAATGTTTTATAGTGATAATGTTTCAATCATGACACATTTTCCATCATGCCTTTCAACACCTAATTATAATTATGTTCGTCGTGTTATTTTAGCCTAAGGAATTGTTGTTAATACATTTTGTAGCAAAATATAATGTACATTTGTCTATAACATGTTTTATATACCTTGTTCCAATTTTTACCTTATGATCTAAAATGCTAGTTTGTCAGTTTTTAAAAAAAGTTAACTATTTGAGTTTAACTACACTCACGAGAATCCTAATTCATACATCATTATTTAAATTCATTTATATGTCGATGAGTAAAAAGATATTTTAAATCAAATTACTCTGTTTATCATGAAATTTAAAGTTTTTCTAGCCCATAAAATTAATGAATTGATATATTTATCACCGAGGTTTGACATAAACGAAAATGTATGGCATAAGTCTGAACAGCCTGAACAATGCACACCTATGATACTACTAAGGTGAACAAGAACAACAGTGAGGACAATCTACTGTATTTCAATACAAAATTACTAAATCTCTTAGTAAAATCCGAGAACCATACAGTAAATACCTCATTTGTAAAATGTCAATCGATTGTCTCAGACTTGATTGTTCTTTCATTTCCACACAAATCGTTCTCTATTCTCGTCCTTATCCCTTCTATCTTCTTAACCTTCTGTCGCCGGGCATTTCACACTCGGCTGACGATGCATACTACTTATATCTATAGACATCTGTAGCACACACCACACTATGTGGATTCATACTTAGTACCTTCAACTATTTCAGTCAGATATTAGTGTTAGATTATTAAGTCAAAATTCCATAATTCATTCTAAAGATTTCGAATACATCTTGCTGATAAGGTTACCTAGCGTAAAGTTTATGTCTACGATTTACTGCTGACTACCATCAACCATTTAACAAAACATATCATCATTATCGTAATCACTAGAGTTCATCCAAACGAACATCTCTGAGTCTTGATCAAAAGTCAAGAATTGAATGTTTCCGCCATTTGAGGTAATGCAAATAATCAAAATTGGAGATTAGAGATCATGAATGATATGGCTCGTAATGATTAGCAATGGCTCAATTAGACTCATTCCCTATGTTTCAACAAATATATATATTCTATACTTTAATTCCACGATTTCACTTGTTATTATTATGCTATATTATGATGTGATGAGTGGAAACGAGGACCCGATACACACTTATACCATTTCCTACACTACATACAGTCGAGTGATTGAGTGATTAAACGAGAATCATGTATCAGTGAATTCAAGTATTTCGTGGTCTGGTACATAGATATTGTATTTATGACAACATGAGATGTTTATATCATGTTAAAAATCAGTTGACATTTGAACAAAAGTGAAAAATTAGGTATTTTATCGATGACCGAAATGTATCATTTCTTCATCGGAAACTGAAAATACAGAAGTATATATTATGTGAATATTGGTTTGATGATTGTAAACGAGGTAATGCTGGTTGCAGAGTATCGTGAATTGATTGAAGCTAGACATATGATTGGATCGCAGTTCGAATGTCTAGGGTTCAAGCGTTCCAGGCTTGATCTCCTGTGGTGTGGTTATGTGCGTGAACTTCTGCGCAGTCCCATATTAGGCCAAATCAACTGTCTAGGGGTTTTTGCTTTTGAATGGTGGTTTCGCTAAGATCGGTCAGTGATTTAAACTATTGATAATTATTGATTTAAAAACATTTAAATTTAAATTATTTAAGTAAAAAGAAAAAAAGTTTTGTGAATTGATAAATTTGTTTGATAATTGAACTGAACAAATAAATTCATTTCCTATTTACAGATTATCATCCACAGGATTATGGACTACATTTATCCGGAGTAAAAAATCACGATAAAATTATTCGAAAATTCAATAATTTAGCTAATCAACGATTAATGGCTGGTGTTGATGAATTTTTCGACGAACTGGATCATAATAGTACGTTCATTTTAAATAAGCGTTTTGCTTTTTTATACTTGTACTAACCAATGGTAAATAACTGAAACAACTGATTTTGTGTTGAAGTGATGAGTTATTAAGTAGAAGAAATTAATTTTTAAATGTATTTGAAGCGGTTACATAGTCGAGTTCGTTGAAGGATCTAATTAGTAATGTGAATTATTTTTTAGTTTAGACGTCTTATCCTGTGTTTTTTTGCAGTGTAAAACTGAATTTCAAAAATAAGTTTTGTAGTCTTTTGAGTGGGTAATCGGTCAGAACATTTTGTTATATTTTACGTGGGGTAGGATTTATTATCATTTTGTAGAAACATTTTAAATGAACAGTTACCATCTATTTCATTTTGAAATCAGCTGTTGATTGTACTGCGATTCAGGTTTTAATGATCTCGATATGACTGGGACAAAATGATGAGACTTAGTAACATAAGTGATAAAATTTTGACTTTCAAGAAGCAAACTACTAGGTCTAGTCTGATTGTTTTAATCAACGCTAAGACATCGGTTAATCTGATAAACGAACTACAGTTGAAATGAAACAAATGTTCTAGATTCAACTGCTAAATTATTTATAAAAAAATATACACAACTTACGAATTGGATCTATATACAGACGTGGATTCGAGAAATTGATTAATTCTAGTTTCAAATAAATATGAGGAATTTGTGGAGATTGTTCACTTTTGCATCTTACACAATGAACTGACCTTAGGAAGGAAACTGTAGTAAATCAAGTCTCATAATGAACGCTTAACTTTTGAAAGATGAGTCCCGCAGTTCTAGCTTGAAATTATGACCAGTTCAGTTCAAGTATTTAGGGTGTAGAGCAGTTCACTGCATGTTCAGATTTTTCTACAGGATCGCGAATTAAAGTTTTAAATGCAAATCATGAAATGTCAAATTAGTAGATTAAAGGTTAAGCTCTCGCTGCGACACATGAAAGTCATGTGTTTGGTCCCCATTTAGGTTGTGAACATCCCCTCTAATCAGTCTTACCCCAGAACGAAACTGCTGTTCAGTGCATGGTAGTTCTTAATGACAGTTTAAATAAGATTAATTCGATATGTGAGATATCAACGTAGTCTTACACATTAGTTACAGAAAAATTTAAACGTCTATTAATAGGAAAAAGCAGTCAACTCAAGTTTTATTTTTCAATATTCTTAGCAGACCAGTTCATTTACATTAAATGCTAAACCAATATATTCTTTTTTTATGATCATGCTAACAACATGTATTATATAATAGCTATTAGTAACTGAAAATAAATCTATCCATCTCTCTCTCTCTCTCTCTATATATATATATATATATATATATATATATGAACGAAGAAGACTCTTTTCGATAAATTCTCTTCAGGTTATATATAATATATATCCAAATTAATAATCCGAAAAATGGCCAGGTTTAGGGCATAGTGCATCATTTAAAGTTATAACATGTGAATTTAGGATTTTTAAACAAAATAATGTTGATATGACTCACATGAAATGTTATATATCATGGTGTAGAGTCATTTAATAATACTACAACTGCAAAAATAGTTTAATGATTTTAATAGTTGAGATCATCAGTCAATTGAAGCTAGGTCACTATGGAAAACCTGAAGGCACTGGACAGCCGTTTCTTCCTACTGTGGGTTTCCTCAGCAGTGGGCATCCACGACCCCTCCTAGCGAGATTCGGGCCGACGGCGTATCAGTTTGGCGCGCGAGAGTTTAACCACTAGACCACTGAGCCGGCATCCATAGGTCCTGGGTTTGAATCTGGCGAGGCAGGATCGTGGATGGGCACTGCTGAGGAGTCCCATACTAGGACGAAACGGCCGCTCCGTGCTTCCAGGTTTTCCATGATGATGTAGCTTAAACTGACCCATAATCTCAACTATTGAAATTATCATGTTATCCACAAAAGCCCTTCTAAAATTGTCTGATGACTAATTGATTATTTCTAAACTGATTTGTTACCATTAAATCTGCTCTAGATATCGAATAAAATAGTAGTTGCTTGTTTCGTTCATAGGTTCTATTGACTTCATTTGCCTTAGCATTCAAATTGACCATATGTAAAATAATGGACCAACTGAACATCAACAAAAACGAGTAATTTGAAGGTTTTTTCAAATTGTGTTCATCAATAATTGTATGGGCAGTGAGTTAGACATTGAAGGAACTCAAGATATTGAACATATTTTTGGTTTTTATTGACACAAGAGGTTAGAGAGCATAAAAGTTTTTAATCCTCCTTTCAGTCTTCAAGGCCCACAGTAAATTACCTGTGTTTTCCCCAAAATATCAATTTATTGTCTTCATTTCATAAAATCTAGGGAGCTGATATCATGTTTTTCGAATAATCTTAATAGCCTAGGCAGATTGCACACATTTATACCATGTTATTTAAAGCATCAATTTACTGTAAATGATCTATGAATGTGATATTCACAACAGTGATTAAAGTTATTAAATTTGTCTAGGGTGCTTATTCATTTGTTCCTCACTAAAAATTTGCGGGTTCATGTTGATATTTGAAGTTATTGAGAAATGCCAAAGATTCTAATAATGAATAATTACTTAAAAATCAAATGAAATATTATGTTTTTCAATACCACTTTAATGTTTTTGTTGAGTACATTCATATAATTTATTGATTTTAACTATAATAAAGTTTTACTTCACTATCATGCATGTAACATTTCTAGTAATTTAATTTTAAACTTCAAGTTCACGTTTTAGAGTATGATGACATTTGAACTTAAAATAAGTGAAGTTACTCAATGTTTAATGAAAGTGTAGTTTCTAACATTTTCGAGAACTGTCCCGTTCATTTAATAAATGATTACTGTATGTAACTGCATAACTATCGCTGGTGATATCATTTCAATTGTTTAAAACTATTTAAACCTATCTTCCATGAACATGCTACCCGAGAACATCCCAAACTGCTGAATGAAAAGCATATAAAGTGAAATTTGTGTTTGAAATAAAATCATCAGCGAAAATTGTTGTCTTACATGATATAAACGTTCGCTCAATCGACGTAAAATATCCGAAAATACATGTTACCACACGTATATTGAATACTGAAAAACGGATGAGCAACAAATTCACGAACATGTATAACATCTCTAAAGTAAACAGCCTAGAAACTAATGATCAATAAATGATAATCATTAGTAAATTCAACATAATCCCCAAAATTTAAAGAAATGACATTGATTTGTCTCACATAATGTATTAAAGTCAAATGATAGGTATAGACTTATCGGTGAGACACCGTTGGAGTACTTTGATTCGGCGTCTAGTCAAAGTGTTGGCTTACATATTCTTGTCTGGGTCAAACAGTTTATGCGCACTGTAATTCGGTTTGTTAATAGAAGTTTCCAAGTCATTTTTAAGTCTTTAACCAACATAGCTGTTTGTGGGTGGGTATCAGAAACACGTGCATCTGAATCGTGAACGCAGTAGAATATAGCATAGGTGTTTAAAATGAACTTTGTTTTTCATTATAATAGTATGTCTTTTTCACAATACCATGTATATATAACTTAAAACAACTTCACTTATTTATAATATTGAAAGGAGCTTATTTACAGCATCGTTACAGAGTTATCTCACGAAAAAATTACAGACATTTCATAAAGTTTAGAAGGTCAGAGTTTTGTCTCAATATCAGCGGATTATTTCACTGTATTATTATAGTTCAGTTATGATGTGTATTAGTTCTCAATTAATGGGATGTTACCGGCTTTATAATATTAATGCGCATACTAAAATAACTAAAAATATTTGCTTATTATAATCAGGATTGTAATTATTTGACCTAATAAACAGTGATGTTTATTTCATAGACGTCAGTCATTTATTAGTAAGTAGTACAGTCGAAAAAACGTATCTACAGGAAAGAATTTGCATTTTCAATTGTGATATTTTTCTCTACTTCAGATAATTGGAATTTCACTTAATTTTGTTCTCCAGCCTATTCATTCAAAAGATGACATCTTATAGTTGTATTAAACGTACAATAGTGTCTGATGAGTACACTAAACTTAAACACGATAATATTCCGCAAATATCGAATTACTCACTTTTAGTGACTTCATCAAATTTTTAGTCCTTCAGAGTTGACCCTGGTTCTCCTAGCTTTACTGTACAAAGGTCTCCGTGGAATATCATCAGACTAAAATAAACAAAAATGTGAACTTAAATCGATAAAATTAGCCAATTTTTTAATGTTATGCAGCTTCATTGTGATATGAAAACTCTGAAACAAGCGAATTAGAGAGTAAGACTTCGCTAATTTATGGTCATTTAAGGTTTGAACTGTTTAATGATTTACGGATTTGTCTTTGAGGTGTAGGAACAGATGGTTCAAGTGTACACCAATGATATGTTGAATAAAACTACATCAGTTCAAATCCATTTACTTTCTAAACAATTCGTAATCCATTACTGTAAATCGATTTGTAATGACTTTACTCAGCTCCAGTAATGTTTATGATATGTAACAGGTTTTTGAATTTGTTTTGTATTCGTTGAATAGATTTATACAGTGGTTGTCTATGGTTGTAGTATTTCAATAGTTGAAAGTTTGTAATTGAATATTTCTCAGTATTATTTAGGAATGTATGTGTGCAGAAGGTCAGTCAGTCAGTCAGTAACAACGTAGAACTTCATAAGTACGTACATCAGTTCGAGTTGCCACACCACCTTAGCACAGAGATGCAGTTGTCGATTCAAATCCCGTGCAGAAGATGCATTCGAATATTATTAAGATCACGAACTGATCTAAGTTAGATGACCATTATTAACCTGGAAGTACTGAACAACTGTTTCGTATTAGTTTGTGGCTTAGAAGAAGTGTGCATCCACGACCCCATCACTATGGATTGAACCAAGGACTTTAGGTCTCATGAGGAAACACTTGAGCTTAAGGCCACTGATCTAAGATCCAATTGTGGGCAGATGTAAACTAAATTTAA